TGGGCATTGATTCAAATTGAATCTATCACCGTTAACAATGGGAGTTGAACTTGGTGAACAATCTTTCATCCGAAATCTCTCTAAAACTTTATTAATATAAGTTTCTTGAGACAAACTTGAAATGCCTTTCAATCTGTCTCTATGGATCTTAATGCCAATGACATAAGATGCCTCTCCCATATCTATCATGTCAAAATTTTTAGAGAAAAAATGTTTCATTTCAAGTAGGAAACCTTTATCATTGGTCGCAAGTAGGATGTCATCCACATATAAAACAAGAAAACAGATCTTATTCCCACTGACCTTCTAGTATATACATTGATCCATGATATTTTCTACAAATTTGAATGAAGAAATTACATCATGAAATTTGAGATACCATTAACGGGATGTTTGTTTTAAGCTGTATATGGATTTCTTGAGCTTGCAGACTAACTGCTCTCCTTCATTTGAGGGGAATCCTTCAGGTTGTTTCATGTAAACCTCCTCCTCTAGATCGCCATTGAGAAATGCCGTTTTCACATCCATTTGTTACAATTTTAAGTCAAAATGGGCTATCAATGCCAAAATGATGCGCAGGAAATCTTTCTTAGATATAGGGGAGACGGTCTCCGTGTAATCGATTCCTTCTTTTTGAGTGAATTCCTTAGCAACGAGTCTCGTCTTGTATCTCTCAATGTTGCCTAATGAGTCTTTCTTCGTTTTAAAGACCTATTTGCATCCAATGGCTCTTGCACCATCAGACAACTTAACAAAACTCCATACTTCATTACTCTTCATAGAATTCATCTCTTCCTTCATGACATTGTACCATAATTTTGATTCTTTGCAACTCATGGCTTGTGAAAAAGACTCAGGATCATTTATGGCTCCAATGTTGTAGTCAAATTCTTGTAGATATACAACATAATCACTAGGAATTACTGATCTCTTTGTTCTAGTAGATCTTCTTAATGTTGTTCCATTATCTTCCTGAGAAGAACGTGGTTCAACGGGTTGTTCAAAAGTCCTTGGCAACTCTTGAATTACCTGATCTACTGGGATATTGTCAGCAACTTGTGAAACTTCAACGATTGGTTGTTCAATACCAGTTTGTACTTGAGGGATGCTGTGAACAATAACCAATCTATTACTTGAGGTGGAAGATTGAGATCCTGAATGATCATTTTTAGAAATTATGTTCCTAATTTGATCGCTCCCACTGATCAAGTCATCCTCAAGAAATTTCGCATTTCTTGACTCCACAATTCTAGTG